TGCAAATACTCTACATTTAATCAATACTGATTCTCGAAAATTGCCGAACAAACGAAGAAATATTTCATATTATAAGATTATAATCTTGATAACTTATCCTTTACAAGACGATGTCCGTAAAACTAATAAATTGTGTATTATGTACCTACAATGTGATGTTTTGCCGATATATAAGGTCAGGTCCAAGTGAATTAGCACGATTTTTTTATGAGAAAGTAGCACATTTCTGGGAAGCATGTATATATTATCAACTGAGCTATATATAAACAACAAATGGAAGGCAATGCTATAGTTTTCAGTTTTCGTTCAGGTTCCTGAAGAATGCTCTTCCGAGCCCTGATCTCGTCCATGATGAAGGCCAAAAGTTTTTCGTGCATGTCCTATTATCAACGGGGAAAGGGGTTTGTCCAGCCTTGTGGTGTTCAATTCCCCAGCGGTGATAGCTTTTTTTAAATAAATAAATAATAAATAACGGTTTATTTCATTAACCGACATCAAAAGTTCTAAACGCTCTCCGTTGTTCTACAAGCATTCCATGACTTAGCAACAATTCTCTAATGGGGATCCAATAACTTGGTAGATTTCAACGCAAACAAAACACAAGCATGCATTTTCTCTAGAAAAGCCGATCTCACTGTGGCAAACATAAGCATGTCGGTGCTTGATATTACTATCAGCAATAACCTTTCTTGGGAAAATCACGTGAGATCAATTGTTAAAAGTGCATCTCAAAAACTTGGTTTCCTGTTTCGGGCCAGGAGCTTTTTCACTTTCGTTCAGCTGCTTATGATCTATGAGGCACAGAACCAACCTGTCCTGGATTACTGCTCCGATATTTGTTTCTTTCTCTACCAGTTGTGAAATGATGATGATGAATAAAGACATATTATTATTATTATTATTATTATTATATTTGGAGTGCAGCACCCGAACATACCCTGCAACTGTTGGATTCTGTTCAAAAAATGGCAATTCGTCTCGTGGGTGATGCCTCGCTCACAAACTCACTCACTTCTCTAAAACACCGTAAAAAAGTTGGCGATCTGGCCCTATTTTATAGATATTTTCATGGACGATGCTCTTTTGAAATCTCAACAATTGTACCTCCCTTGGCAGTCCCCGCGATAGATTGAGGCTTCGCACCCCTTCGTGGTCACTTTGGAGACCTGCAGATTATCTTTTTCCAAACACTCGTTCATCCAACGAACAGCGAGGCTCTGGAACACATTGCCAAGGGAGGTGTTCCCCAAGGCATATAACCTACAGAAATTCAAGAAGAACACCAATTTCTAACTTATTTCCCTTGGTTTTCACGATGTTCTCTGAACATTACTGGATATCCCTTTTCGGGGGAACCAGAACATAAAAGAAAATGACTGTTCGCCGTTTGTTGTCGAAAATGTTCCTTAGCATTTCAGGGCCAATATTTTGGCAGCAATGTATCATTGAGGCTTTCAGATATCCAAAATGGCAGAAATCCAAAGGCGTCAAATCTGGAGACCGAATGTTAAACGAACTTAATCAGTTAACTCAAATCGCAAAAACCTTTACAAACACCCCGCATCTAAAATATTGGTTGTTAACTGATCATAAGTTCGTTTAACATTACAATAGCAATTTCACTATCTCAGATTCCTCTAGAAAAAATCAGAACTTTTTAATTAACTGATAGATTACAATAGAACTAAGTTTAACTATTCGCTCTAATGTTCCTCAATTATAAATTTCTGTAATCTGTTCATCAAAGGGTTCAATTTGAAAATATCACTTCACAAACCTCTCGGAAGCGCTGTACACCCTGGAAAATAATCAATCTAGGTATAATAGATGATCCTGTTATGAAAATGACGCTGATATTCAAATGATATTTTCTTGAGTTAAAATGATTCAATCTGAAATTCAACTACTACGAAAAACAATTGAATATCATGAAATACAATTGACGCTGCCTGAAAATGAATTGACTATTCTGAAATACAAATGATATCTTTCGAAATATACAAGTAACTATTCTGAAATGCAATTTATGCTTTCTGAAATCGAATTTGAAAAAGGTGTAGGTGTAATCTTGTTCAGATAAAATTTTCAGACATTGATTCTCATGAAATAACGACTAATTCGATCTGGCAATATCACAGGGATGTCTTTCCCATTGTTTTTTTCCTTCTGAAAATTCCTCTGCCATCTCGACGAGCCTTGTTCGCGCCAACCCCCTCGGCCGGATGAGATACCGGCCACTTTTTCATATTTGCTTTTTCAGAGACACTTCCTCCGTACGAAACTCCTCGCGCCCATGTGGCAACGTCGCGGGTGTCCTCCGAACAGGTTGTTCTTGTCGCTAGGTCTAGAGGCAGAAGGATAAAAATAGGCATCGTGGTCGCGCCAAGCGCGGGCACAGATCACCTACGACGGGCGATTATTAGTTGTGAAATGTAACATAATACAACTATACTTCCCTAATTCCAATGGGTACCATATACAAATAACACCTAAAACATTCAAGGGGTGTTTTCTTGTGATATTCTAGCAAATAAAGTTTTTATGAAAATGTGCCTAACTTTGCTACGTCTTTGAGAAACAGGATGTTGAAGTTGGAAGTATTAATTATTTTTATTTATAACTGTACAAGCTCTCATTGTGCCACAATTCAGTAAGGATGGAGACTAGGAAAGCCCCAAAAGTTCAAAATGATTATAATAATTGGGGTTATTGAGTAAGCTCAATGGAAGTCTTGAAGACACCTACATTAAAATTTGGAGTCGAATCTAATTTTTATTGTTTTCTCAACAACCAAGCTAGATATAAAAAAATCACACAGACGATAGAAAAAGATTTTTCATGGAAATATATTAATACCATCATCATATGCGACAATCGACAAACAAAAAAATTAATTCTTTCAAATGGAACCTTGTTATTTTGAATTTTTCTAGAAATCAATGAATCTTTATTGTGTCCTAAAATATTATATTTATACAGGGTGGGCCACCAGTAACGCCTCGGTCTCTAGAAGGCTAACCACTTATCTTCTTGGAATTCTTCCTCTCTAGGAAGTTGCATGTTGAAACAAATACAGGGTGGTGCAGAATTCAGAATCTTGATCACCCGGTATATGTCCCAATTAAATATCAGTAGATAGTTAATCAAAAGTTGAGATAGGGACATGTAAGTCGTTTTGACCAATTATGAATAGTTTCGACACAAAAAATTCTTGAACTTGGAAAAATCTCGATTTTTCACACCCTATATTTCAGTAATTATAACTGATAGACCCCAAGCATGATGGGTCGTTGAAATCAGCTCATCAGGGAGAATGTCAAAATGAAATAATATATAGGGTGTTCGATAGAAAAAAGTTTCACTTCAGTGTTTTATGGTTTTTGGGGACACCCTGTATGTTTCGAAATAATTTTAAATAATATCCTATGTTCACATGCAACTTCCTAGAGAGGAAGAATTCCATGAAGATAAGTGGTTAGCCTTCTAGAGACCGAGGCGTTACTGGTGGCCCACCCTGTATATATAAAACTAATATTTAGGAACAAAAGTTGAAAACGATGTTCTCCTTGAGGTTCCAGTCAAAAATGGGTGGCCAATGTAGAGAAATACCTCTTTGGTACTTTGATACCCATTATAAGTATGGTATCTTGTGTTCTGTTTTTTCAGATATCTTGATGATGAAAATAAAACGACAATTTAACAAATAGTTTTTTCTCTATATTGGCCACCCCCTTTTGACTGCAACCTCAAGGAAAACATCGTTTTCAACTGTTGTTTCCTAAATACCAGTTTCCCTCAACTAGTTCAGTCACCAGACTCCTTAATTAATATGAAACTAAAAAAGAGAGTGTTCAGATTTGAAAGAATGAATTTTTGGTATGGTACATATTATGAGATATTAAATATCAGTGATATATCTATTCCTAAAAGATATACTCTGACTAGTGACTATACATGTTGTTAAGTCTTTGAATATTCGATATCTCATATATATAAACAAAAAATTGACACTTTGAATAATGATATGAGGATTTGGAGATTGTTAGGCTAGAAAATGAAACATAAAATTGGATTATAATGGAGAATATTAGATGGAATTTCAAGAGTTTCCTAACCAACGTTAATAATAATAATCATGCGAAATTTCTAAATTGTTCTCGAATGGTTCATTTAAAATTTTTCACTGCACAATGGGCAATCTGATTTCAACGTAGTATTTGCAGGTAAATTGAAACATTTTGTTTTATGAACCTTAACATTTTTCTGAATGATAAACTTCCATCGGCATCTATCACAGGAAAACTTATACACTCCTCCAATTTTTTTATATTTGGCCATCTTAGTTGGATGAAACTCCTAACAATGCCTCCTGAGAATTTTAAAGGAGCTGAACGTTTTTGTACATTCTTCCAGCACAAAGGTTTTATTTCATATTTTACGTGTGGAATGCACGGAGATCAAACTATAACTGAATATTTTTTTTTCGAGTAGATCATTGTAATACATAGTTGAATAGAGAATTTTGAGGCGCAAGAAAAACATCAGAAATATACAGGGTGTCATTTGGAAAAAATGTTGGGTCTACTTCCAATCAAACAGGTAGTTGAAAACAATTATCATTGTGTTCAAGGAAAGCCCCATCATCGATTATATAACCCTTGTGAATTTTAAATTGTTATCTCTTCGAATAAAAAAACTACAGGCTGTTACATGCATGTCTACTGTGTCACCCGGTATATCAATTTTTTAAGTTCATAATCATATCTGAGAATATGCCTGTTTATGAATGAGTACCTATTGGCTCAATTGTTAACTTATCGCTTCTTCGCTCTCATAATATTGTCCCGTGATCTGTGCTCGCTCTTGGCGTGGTTCCCCCAGCACGAAGACTATTCTTTTCTTCCTGTCTCTAGACGCTAGTGTACTACTAGAGGAGGCAAAAGCTCGTTCATAAGCGCCTGCCGCGTGGTGGGGGAAATCCCTCCACCGAAACCTCATCCTGCGACCGGCTGCCAATTGCCATCCACCGACGTCAAGCATTAACCGCTTCACCTCTGAAGCTCCCACACCGTTGCAAATCTAGTACGATTTAAAGGGACCCACACACGGAAGCGACACAACCGATGAGTCCATGATAACTTTGTGATAACGTTAATTTTAAGTACCTAGTGCGTTTAGTGCGTGTGAGACTGATAATAGTAATTGAAACGAGAGCTACTGGACTGAATGAACATGGACTTGTACTGTTGCGAAATAGCCGAAAACGAGAATAAGGCTTACGATGATCCCACTCTGCTCCAGGATAGAGTTCTTAAGAATCTTCTTAAAACCGAAGATAGGTACGTGCTGCCCTATCCGGCTTCGTTAAGTGTACAAAAGGAAGTCACTGCGGAGATGAGAAAAATTGTAGCTGAGTGGATGATGGAGGTAAGCCAAAAACTCCTTGAAACACACTCAATGACTACAACAATATTCTTTTCTCAAATCCAAGTTGGTAAGGCCCAAATTATTTATCATTATTCCAGTTTCAACAAAGTATTGCGGGAGTAGAATATTGATGTGATATTAACTAATTTTTCTATCACAACATTTACTGATTCAGTGATCATATCAATATTCTTCGGCCCATTTCTATCTGTCGGTTTTCTGGCTCATGATCACTGACCATCTAAGACCCTTATTGGGAGATGATGAGCCTGGCACACATGTTTCTCTCTCAGCTGTTAACCACATGTCCCAACTTCTTGAATGGGTTTACAGCAAAGGAATTTTCAGGATCACCATTGACTATTACTCGTCAATGAAGTACCTGATGTTCAACATAAAATGTGTTGGTCAGTTACGTTTTGGGTTATCCCACCGACCAGTTTCCACGAATTCGAAGCAATATAGGTATCATAAATCAGTATGACACCAAAGAATCGGCATGGTATGTGTCGTTGTTCATTAAGATGTGACTTGCAAGTGCTAGAGACTTGGCACCACTAGGACCGGCTAGTATTTTCCAGTGGATTTAAATTTTAAATATCACGATACGTGGAGGTAGGTACTTATTTCTACCGGTGCTGATACGAGCCGTCAAAGCGTTTGCTAACATTGGTGTGTCTAAATATAAAGATAATAAAAAATGTGACACGTATTAGATACCTATTGCTGTTACGTAGCATCGCTATCGCACTGGGAACAGATCTCGGAACAGATGATTTTTGGTGATTTAAAGGTCCGGCTAATTAGGTGGGATAGGTGGCACCGGCAGAGTACCGAAAATGCGTGTGACGTGTGATTCTCTAAACTGTGGTATGGGTATTTAAATATTCATGGAGGTCAATGTCCTGCTAACAGCTGAGCGCGAATTTTCGTCATCAGAGCAATGCGATCGTCCAGTGGATTTTCGTCAGTGACCGTAGTGACGACTACACGGGCGTAGGTCTGGGTGGGGGAGACGGCAAGAAAAAATTAAAGAGCCAGCAACATCTACTGCAGATGATTCTGGCATTCCTCACTATTTCTGTATGCTTATGCTTCATAGTTATATTTTTTATTGACGAAACACAGTTGACAAATTGATTTTTCGAATGGTAGGTATACAAGAAATAATACAGGGTGGTCTGTTATTGAGAAATTACAAGGCATTGAAATTGTAGTTCATAAGGGCGATATAGGTGTTTTCTTCAGGATGTCCCGATATCTCGCTCAATAATTGATTATGTCGACGGTGCTTCGAATTTGGACCATATCGTTTTTTCTCGGCTACCTTTCATTATTAACTTACTGTCTTTGCAACATTCATTTACCAGTGCAACTATTACTTCTGTTCAGTCATGTATTTGCTGAGGAAACTTCATTTAACAAAAATTTAATAGAATTCGGACCAAATAATATATCGCCCTGATGAAACTCAACGCCCTGTAGCTCTTCGAAGGATCCCATTTGGGTATTTCCCGATATTTTTCGAAGATCTATTACCCACTTGATTTTTCTGATTGTGTAGGTATATGTTCGAAGAATCATCATAATGAATATCTAGGTACCTCTCGATCTACCTACTAAACCAATACAATCAATACCACTTCTTCTAAAATCTGTAAAGGAATCGAGATGACTCATAAAGTGACTTATAGATAGTATTTTGTGATACCTCTCAGAAAAGGTCTTCCAAAATACAGTTCATTTTTCATTAAATTGAGATAAGAACGATACATTTCATTACAATTCAAATTATTTAGTATCATTTTGTTCAAGGTTTTGTTTATATTGCCATAAATTAGTTGTTTCAATAATGATGGGTTCGAGAATTTAAAACTTTCAAGGCCTTCTCAAAAAGACTATGGTTATCACGTGATACTCATTTCTACCGAGATTTCTATAAAAATAATTAATGACATACGAATTGGATTTTTCATGAAATCGTCCATGCTTAGATATTTTTCGTATAAATCTAGAAGTTGTACGTATACCCACAGAAACGTTTGAATGGGCAAAAATAAAGTATTCTCTATGGGATTCAGAATCTATTACTATAAGGTGCAAAAAATATCTTAAACCTAAAAAATTTAGATGAACTGGTATTTCTCAATGGATCACCTTGTATTTCATTTTCCTAATCGAAGTTTTCGGAAAATATAGATTCCAAGGCAGCTGCAGAACGTCAGAAATCGCAGCAGTGCCATCTGACGTTCTGCACCTGCCTGACAAAAGGTATATAATATTTGAAATAGTAAAAACATAGTACGCCACTGCTCTGATGACGACACTGTCCATATTTCTCACCAAAAAAGGCCCCTTTTATTCACAAATGGAATATGGAATTGTAGGTGTGGGTGAAATACGAGGTAAAATATAAACAATCACCCTGTACATACCTACTATTGTCCTGTGACGAACTAGTGATTTCTGAAAAAACCATAGTAGGCCACTGGTCTAATGACGACCCTGTCGATATTTCTCACCGGAAAAGGCCCCTTTTATTCACAAATGGAATAGGGAATTGTAGGTGTGAGTATAAAATACGAGATAAAATATAAACAATCACCCTGTACCTACGATTGTCCTGATGTGACGAACTAGTGATTTCTGAAAAAATCAGTACGCCACTGGTCTGATGACGACACTGTCCATATTTCTCACCGAAAAAGGCCCCTTTTATTCACAAATGGAACAACGAATTGTAGGTGTCAGTATAAAATACGAGATAAAATATAAACATTCACCCTGTACCTACGATTGTCCTGATGTGACGAATTAGTGATTTCTGAAAAATCATAGTACGCCACTGTTCTGATGACGACACTGTCCATATTTCTCACCGAAAAAGGCCCCTTTTATTCACAAATGGAATAACGAATTGTAGGTGTCAGTATAAAATACGAGATGAAATATAAACAATCACCCTGTACCTACGATTGTCCTGATGTGACGAACTAGTGATTTCTGAAAAAATCATAGTACGCCATTGGTCTGATGACGACACTGTCAATATTTCTCACCAAAAAAGGCCCCTTTTATTCACAAATGGAATATGGAATTGTAGGTGTTACATTAGAGTAGTCAGTAGGTGAACGGTCTACTGCCTGTGGGTTTTAAAAGTTAAAGCTACTATTATCCGACTCGGTCTAGCAGATTGATGGCTCATTTTTTATTTTATTCGATATTTATTCCAAAATAACGAACCATGACGGTGAGCGCTCATTGAACAGCTAAAATATAATTTTGTACTAGGTATGCAGGTTCTGCTATGAGGCGCCAGTGAGGTCAAAAATGTATTGTCGGGTATTGTCCACACAGAGACTTGTTACAAATCATTTTATGTTGATGACTTTTATTATGTTGGATTGCATATATCTTTGCCAAATTGGCAAAATGTTTTTGCTGGAATATTAGCATATTTGCATATTTACTTGAACAAAATTTCATTAGATTCAACAAAATTCATGGATGATTTTATTCATTCAACCATTATTCCATTCATTTATTCAAAAAATTGTATTATTCCTGACAAACATATCCGTATCGTAGGACAACATAAAATTTTGTTATTTCAACTTAATAGTCTGTTGAAATAAATGAATATTGATTGAAATATATATTTCTTCATTCCTGAAAAATTTCTTTACTTGAATTCAATGTTATGACTCATCAATTTATAACATAACTTGCATTATTTCCATGAACAAAATATGCAGTTATCTATTACCTATATTGTATATTTAACCAACCTCATCGAGTTGAACCAATAATGAGTATTAGATAAACATTTATTTGAAATTACTTCAAAACAGACCCCATACTATGACTTATTCATAATGGTTTCTACCATACGAAATACTTGTTGTAAATTCTGTTTCTCTCGCCGTATAACTCTCGTGAAGTTCCCATAGTTCAAAACTTGGAAAATATATAAGTATATGAAGTTGACTTTTGCTCACTTGGTGGAAATGGATCAATCTAGATTTCAAAAATGGATCCAGATTTGTAGCTCGAGTCACTTTACCTGTGACTCAGAAATGTTTCTCTCGTAGTCTTGATACCATGATCAGACATCAGGTTATAGCTCACAAGATATTATCTCATTACGATTCTTCCTGTGTGAGTTCATTGTTCATTGAGTTGGGATTTAGAGAAATATGTTTCTTCTCATTTTGATGCTGTTGACTATCAATCTATGAAGAGATTTCATAAGAAGATATTTCTCCATCTGCTCAGAGAGCAAAGTTTTGTTTTCTGAGCAGATTTGTAGGGCAGGAGTAGGTATGCAAAATACAGTGGTAATAGTTTGTTTTTTATACAAGCTTCCGGATAAAGAATCAAAGTGGTCGAGGTCGTTATCAAAATAAACTTTAGGTCAGGTAGAAACCATTAATTGGTATTAGAATTGACTGCGGTATTTTTCCGTCCAATTTCTCATATTAAGGGGCACATAAATTGGCAATCCGAAGAAGCAGAGATAAATCTCCTAAAGGCTATAAATGACCTATAGGTAAATTTGAAAGACAACGACAACAAAAGGATCTAGCCGCCAATCCTTGAATTCGTGTTATGCAAATATTAACGCTGGACTAGACGAACTGCCTTTGGCTAAACCGTTTATATATTGAACTATTTTTATCAAGATCAACCCAATCGTGTCTCAACTCACTACTCTACCTCTGAGGAGACCTCTTCAAGGAAAAAGAGTACCTATATCCGAATTGGCATGCCATCTAACCTTCCATTTCGATGCTCGGTATTACGATCAGCAATAACCTTCCTTGGGAAAATCATGTGAGATCAATCGCTGAAAGTGCATCCCAAAAACTTGGTTTTCTGTTTCGGGCCAGGAGCTACTTCATTTCCAGTCAGCTGCTTATGATCTATAAGGCACAGATCCGACCTGTCCTGGAATACTGGTCTCATATTTGGAGTGCGGCACCCAAACATACCCTGAGACTGTTGGATTCTGTCCGAAAAAGAACAATTTGTCTCGTGGGTGATGCCTCGCTCACAAACTCACTCACTTCTCTGGAATACCGTAGAAAAGTTGGCGATCTGGTCCTATTCTATGGATATTTTCATGGACGATGCTCTTCTGAAATATCAACGATTATTCGTCCCTTGGCAGTCCCCGCGAGATCAACCCGTCGAGTTGAGGCTTCGCACCCCTTCGTGGTCAATTTGGAGACCTGCAGAACATCTCTTTCCAAAGATTCGTTCATCCAACGAACAGCGAGGCTCTGGAACACACCTCCAGAAATTTAAGAAGAACATCAATTCCTACCTTACTTCCCTTGTTTCTCACGATGTTCTCTGAACATTACAGGGTATCCCTTTTCGTGGAAACCAGAACATAAACAGCAGTTTCTCCCAGAGTAAGGCTTCGCGACACCAAGAGTCCAGTCTTGGTCTCGTCTTGTTCTTGATACAAGACCAAGACTAAATAAATCTTCCCAGTTCAGTTATTCATTTGTCATATGGTAGGTTCTAAATTTGTGTTCACTCAAAATCCGAAATACATTTTTCAAATTCTGCATTGCAGATTTTAAGTTTACAACAAATTGGTATATGTTGTGAGGTCACAGTATCGAATTTAATGCAACAGTTATTTGGTTCGAATTTGAAATTATTTTTTTTTTAATATTTTGATAATGCGTTGTTGTCAGTTTCGACCCTATGGTGAAAGAAGACATTTATTTTGCTTACTTCATACGCACAGATTGACAATTTGAAATACTGAGAGATACGAAATACCTATTAGATGCATATAAACTCATCTTGGTTTTGAAACATCAATACCAATACCAAGACCAAGACTACATTTATTTTTCGAGTCCAAGACCATTTTTATTTAAGTTTGAGTATCTTTGAATACACTCAGCATACATTCGAAACCAATGCTTTCGATTAACCGTATGAATGCGAACTGGCTTACTGGAGCCAAATCATTTGTTATTTGCATTTATGTGAAGTTTTCCATGATTTTAAATATCTTGACTTGAATATGAAATGATTTTGATCAAGTAGATACTAATTGTTTTTTTAACAAAGTGTTTCTATCTTTTCAGGTTTGTGAGGAACAGAAGTGCCAGGCAGAAGTTTTTTCTTTAGCAATGAACTATATGGACAGATTTTTAATGTGTTGTTCGATACTGAAAACGCAATTACAGTTGTTAGGCACAGCGTGTATGTTGTTAGCATCAAAATTAAGAGAATCTAGGCCGTTGTCTGGAGAAATTTTAGTGTATTACACTGATCATAGTGTTACGAAACAGCAGCTTTGGGTAAGTTAAAAAAACATTAGTTTTAATTTCAAACATTATTGTCTTAAATTGTTGTCTTTCGAAATCATGACGTGTTTTCATCATTTTATTGAGAATTAGTGATAAATTGCATTTTTTCCTATTGCTGCATTGTTGTAAGTGTCATTTTATTCCATCAGTATCAAGAGTGATTCATTCAATTCATTTTCAATTTTGGTATTGAAAGTAAACCGATAGTTGCTTCTCAAGAATCTTGGAGGTCGTCCTTTTCTCCTGCTCTTTGAAAATGCGATTAGTTTGAAAAACTCACATAAATCCGCATAAATCTTTATCATTCTTGACATCAACTATGAATGCATAGAGAGAAATCATGATTTTTAGTAAACGGGCCAGCATAACTCGTTCGTTTTAACTGTTTGGAATATTTATTATAATTATATTTCTCTAGCTCCAGATAACCTGAAATCTGCGCAATTTAACATTTTCGAACCCCTTGTTTAATGAAGAAATAATATGTACAATGCACCACCTCTTTGAGTTCTCAATTTGAATTATTCCTGATTATTTGGTGTTTTCTTTCCACATTTCTATAAAATGAAAATATTATATCAAAATACACGTGTAGTGAGGATTAACCAGATGATTTTCCCAAAATGTCACTGCGTTGAAAAAATCCTAACAGAAAGCCTAAAAGAAAAATTCATTCGCTTGAGAGTGACACTTTGTTTTGAAAAGGTTTGTCACTGAGAAGTATTCTGAATTTTAAGTTGAAAAGAGAAATTGCTATCCATTCCTTCCTATTTCACATTAACGCGTTCGTAAAAATCATCAAATATCATTGAAATAAACCAATAGATACTTTATCTGAATGAATTGAGGTTCGGCGACGCCATCTAATCTTATTTACTCGAAAATATTCTACATAATGAGTTGATTGTTGAATCAAAAAGTATCTTTATCGTTTTTTCGCATACTCAAATGTGTTTCGTAAGTCACGAATGGCCTTGAGCCCACATCATTGCGAATTTTCATGCTTTTATGATCTAGGATACTATAACAGAAGACTGATATTTTTCCAACTAACTACCCTGCCACGTTGCCCTTTAATTATCATGAATTTATCAGATTTTGTTAGAGTGTGGGTAGGTACATGCTGGTCATATCAAAAGTTCCATTCTATTCCGTTTTTTTTTAAGTAGAAGTGTTTGTTCCATTAGATATCTCCTTGATTATGTTGAAGTAAACTATCGCTGGAATGTTATATTGAAAGCATTTGTTGTTGATTGTCTCTCTCAAACATTACGAAATAATATTTCAACATGATCCAACACAGTATTTCAAGTTTTTTGACTCGTAAGTCATCTTCAAATCAAATTTTCTCCATGGGGTGTCGAAAAAATAGTGGGATCTATTTGGAAAAGTTGAGTTTTTGGCAATTTTTCAATACGACACTTGAATATTTACCGCCCTCATATGGTACAAAATTGGACCATCGATGGAATATCCATCAGCTAATGGTTCAACAAATTTGGTGCTCTTAGTGTGAACGATACGTGAGATATAAATATTTTCGTTAACCACACTGCGATGGTGAATAATTCCAGAAAATTACAGATATACTCAAAAACTGTGGATATTTTCGAATAAAAAAGTTGTTTTTTCTCTATAAAATGGCGGATCTCTGTATATGCCTGATATAACAATGCCTGGTAGATACTACCATTGGCACCATTCTCACCAAGACCACTATATTTCATTTCATTTCGTTGTCTAAGATAATATAAATTTGATTGATAGTTTTCTATAACAGCAGGTATATAAGTTTTTCTCCGATTGGCAGCAAATATTAATTTTGCTGACACATATCAATCAACAAAGTATTACTTTTCCTGCCTAGGCAGCAAAGTGGTTACTTTGCTGATTGATACGTATCAGCAAAATTAATAATCCATAAATCGTTTATAATTTCCTTCATATTTCATTCGAGACTTCTCCGGCAACAAATTCAACTCTTATTATATTTTTTGCCACCTCCCTTATTTCTGGAGGTGTAATCCAGGACGCTATCACTGTCCATTATATAATAATTTAAATATACCGATATTTTTTCGCACAACTGTCAGAATTTTCATGAATTGTCAAACTATAATTATCATGGACAACTGCGATTTCTATCAAATTTCATTTTAATTGAACACTACAGGAAAAATAAAGAGATTGTGGGAATTGTAATAATTTGCAATTACAATATCCTCCTATATCATTATGAGCAATCGGAGAAAAAATTATATGTTCAACTCGGCAGCAAAGTAGATTGACTGCCTTAGCAGGATTCCTAGCCTCGCTACGCTCGGCTATGAATTCAGCCTCGGCAGTCAATCTACTACTTTGCTGCCTAGTTAAACAAATAACTATTTCTTACATTCTACAAATTATTCAGAGGAGATCATAAAAAAATATGAAATATTGATATATGATTTTGATAGGAATAAAGATGGAAGATATTTACAATTTTTTTTTCGCATTCTCATAGCTATAGCTATATTAGAATTATAGAATTATGACACCTAGGTGAAAAAACACCTGTATGTGTCTTGAATGTATATGTTCGAAATGTGCATGAATATTTTAGTGAAAAAGATTGAGGTGAACTGTCCATATGTTTATGATTCAAAGTATACAGAGAAACTAAAAGTATATACATTATCCTAAGAAAATATTATTATACAATTTCGAATAATTTTTGAAAATATATACTTGACAGATCTTTTTGAATCTATATTTGTATAACAATTTTTTATCTAACGGTTGAGTATTGTAACATTTGGTTCCTAAATAGGTCACACAATTTTTTAAAAACTCTATATCTATGCTCGGTATTTCCATCAGCAATACACTTTCATGGAAAAATCATGTCCTATCCATCGCGAAAGCTGCTTCACAAAAACTCGTATTTTCATTTTATTCACATCAACAGCTCCTAATGATCTACAAAGCACACATACGGCCAGTTTTGGAATACTGTTCTCACACGTATACCATTCGCCTGGTGGGTGATGCCACACTCACGAATCCTTCGACCTCATTAGAACACCGTAGAAAAGTCGGCGACCTTTCACTTTTCGATAGATACTATAGAACTCGACAGGCCCAGTCATCAGCACATCTTTATGTTGTCAACCTTGAAATAAGTCGAACAACATCATGTTCGTCCATATAAGTACAAAGCTTTGGAATTTTTTGCCAATACTATAGTATTACCAAGAACTTATATATAACCTATACAAAAGTTCAAAAAAAATTCCAACACCCACCTCATCTCCATATCCTCCCTATATGAGGTAACATACAATGTTCTTCGAATATTATTAGGATTTCCTCCAGTTCGCTCCGAGAGCATATGTAGAAATTTTAAAGTTTTAAAACAAAGTGCGAGTTGGGAAATCTCTAATGTGTGCCTATGTAAATCTCCCTGTATGTATACCTACCTCGATACCTACTTTATGAATCACTCGATATGGGACCAAAGCTAGAATTTCTTCCATTCACTGTTTGAGATTCCGTCCTCAGACTGTTTATATGATATCGGCATTTCTAATCTGTCACATATATATATATGTATTAATCTTAACAAACTTCCTGTTAACACGATATCAAAGCTTTACTGATCAGCTTGTTTGGGTTTCGAATGATACAGGAAAATAAAAATTCCAACTTTTTCCTGGATGTAATCTCTTTTTTATACCGATGAATGGTCCTTTTATATTGAAGTAATTGAGTGATGCAGGTCTAGTTATCCAATCACTATCAGTGAAAAATTAAAAGGGTATTTATAGATGTGGATGTGCAGAGAATTATCAAAGTTGATATAAAATAAATATTTCAACAACAGATAGAGACTATCAAAGTTATGAATGAGATGCGAAAAGATCTTTGAATTGTAAAATGAAAGCAGCTGATATTTGACCTCCTAAAAGTTATTATCAGGAAAATGGAATGTTTTCATTTGATATGTATAAACTATGAGCTATTACAATGATATCGAATGTAATATAAGTGTGTCGAAATTGAGTGTACCTATTTCTACACCTCTAAATTAGTATCAGCTGTTTTTAAAGTATGTATCATGTCAGCTGTTTGATGATCTGATGCAAACATTGCTGCCATTGTTTCACTTCTCGAATTGTTGGTACAATGAACTCGTTGGAAAATTATGAAATTCCATTTATAATAGTAATTTTCCTAACAAGTGCGGAAAATGATTCTTTCCCGCACGCGACTGCCGTTGACACGAACGACGCGAAGCGGAGTTCGGGCAAGCATCATGTATATTTCTATTTCTAATTCATTTGTTCACGTATTTTTCAATACAAAATAGTTCACATAACACGTGATAATAATGTTATCTGATCAACTTTCATGGTACCTATTTTTTTCTCCTGTTTAGATATTGTCAAAATCTGATGTTAATATACTGAAGATGAATATAAAGTGTTCGGAAACCTCAGCTCTAATGAAGAATAAGTACCTTGAAAAAATAAAAAAAATCATTAGACTTCGTGAACTCTATGGTAACTATATTTTTATTGATTACCAACTGCCGAGGGGTAAACCGCTGAGGAAGTATGGTGTACAGCATGAGGAAGTACAAGGGAAGTACGGGAAGTATGAGGAATTATTAGGAAGTACAAGGAAGTATGAGGAAGTACGAGGAAGTAGAAGGAAGTACAAGGAAGTACAAGGAAGTACAAGGAAGTACAAGGAAGTACAGGAAGTACGAGGAAGTTTATAGTACTTGAAATGCTCACGTTAATGTTCCTATTGCGAGTCCTGCGCGTTAGTGACGATTGATGTGTTATGTTTCATCACCGTCTAGAGACATGACGCATCAAATATTGCGAGCGAGCCGTGCGGAAGTAAATATTCAAAAAATTTCCGGCTGATCCTGATAAAGAAACATCACTGAAATAGCTGAAATTACTATCGGCGTCATAAACAGACTTTCTTCAGTTAATCAGAGG